AGTATCATATCAAGCACAGGGCCCTTGCCCAGGACGCATGGCCTGCTTCTGTATTCTGTCTCACCTGGGAGATTTTGAGATCCTGGAGAACAAGGATCTTATCTCAGTTATCTACCACTCCAGCTCTCAGTTCAGTGCCTGACATCTTGTAGGCCCTCAGTGACCCTTTATTACACACTGCCAAGTTTCCATTAAATGTGCTAAACACTCTATATAAGGTATGGAGTGTCTGTAACCTTCCTGGGCAGAAGCACCATTCTTATCCCCATCTTACAGATGAGAAAACTGAGGCTTAGAGAAGTGAAGCAAATTGTTGGAGTCATATGACAAAGAGCCAGGATTGGGACATAGGTATGACTCAGTGGTTCTCAACTGATTATGCCCTCCAGAACACCCCACTGTAGGGACATTGGCAATGTGTGGTTAACAGTTTTTTGCTGTCACAACTGAGAGGTGCTACTGGCATCTTAGTGGGTAGAGGTCAAGGGTACTGCTGAACATTCTACAGTGCACAGGACAGCTCCCACAACAAAGAATTATCCAGTCCAACATGTCATGAGTCCTGAAGCTCAGAACCCCTGTTCGTACTAAAGCCCACACTTCATAGATTTCAGTACCAGGCACTTCATATTCTTTTCCTTATCTGCATTTCATAAACAAATACCATGATGTATTTATTATTTTTTCTTAAACTGACTTTAAATTGATGAACTTAAAAGAATTAACTATATTTTAAGCACTTGTGCCCATGAAGCCATGTGTTGGATATCATTATATATTTTTTGATACACATTGAAATAACTATAAAATTATTAAAAGATATTTCTTGGGGTACCACCAAAAATCATCTCACATATCACCTCCAGTCTGGGGGAACTATACTTCAGACTCATTTCACTTCTTCTATAAGGCTTCCCTTATCTGTTCAGAACAAGAGGATAAAACATATCAAAGGGGGTGCTGCTTGGACCTGGCAAGGTGCTATCTCCTTTTAGGCTTCTGTTAGAGGAAGTCATTGTGAAGACACGATCAGAGGTTGACCCCTGAGCTGGACCCAGGTGATGGGAGGCTACTCAGCTGTCCGCTGTCCTTGAAATGTACCTTTTGCCCACTGTTCCTGCGCTCTCAAGGCCGTAGCCTTGAGTAAATAGGTGTTGAGGCCATTTTGGATGGTACATGGTGGGTGTGGAGATCTCATTTTACAGCACCCAAGCAGGTAAGTTCCCTTGCTAGTTAAACCTGTCACCTACCATTCTTCTATCTCTCCTTACCCTCTGTGGTTGGGGCCAATTTCAGATCATACCCAGGAAGTTTCTGAAGTTTTAAATCAACTTCTGTTTCATTTTTTCTCCCTCAAGGCTTATAGTTTCTTAGAAACCCCTTTGAAACCCTGAAAGCCACCTGATGAGGATGATTTTGAGGGCCACAGCACAAACAGTCTAATTTGTTGAGTTGCTTGTGGACAATGGTTGCCAGTTCTGGTAAGCACACATCCTTTGTCATGTGGCTGTCTCCCCTAACTGCTGGGGAGTACAATTGCATTCTCTTCGATACATGCACTATAGTCTGACATAAATAAGGTGAGAGCAAATGATGTTCTTCTTTGGATATTAAAAGTGCCTGTATTGTAAATAATAATGTCATCATCACTTTCTTAGAAAGCACGTTCATTAAGAGCTGCATTTTAACCTCAACACATTTGCATGAATTCATTTGTAGTGGTGGGAGGGGTGGTATTTGATGATGAATTTTCATCTTTCATGAACTTGCCAGGTGTTTCTATAATATTACTCCCCATTGACCCCTCCCCCTACCACCAGGAGCCCTGAGAGATATTCCAGAGGGGGGCATGTCTCCAATAATCATACATCTGTTAGGAGGCAGTTGACTCTTTGCTGACTGGAAATACCCAGAAGACATCAACTCTTTTCTCTTGAAAAGTAAAATGAACCAAGATGATTCCTTCCACTTCTAAACAATTTTCAAATGTTTGGGAAACAGGCTCTGGCAATATTCCAGAGGGCAATGGCAGCCACGACAGGCAAGACCAGAAGGAATTTGATTTGGGCAAAGCTCAATAAATAGGAGGCTTAGGGTTTGGAATCTGGTAAACAGCACAGGGTGGATCTGGTTGGCTTGTCTCCACAGCACGGTCCTGCACTCCCTTTGTCACAAACAGGGGACAGTCTCTGTTAATTAAAGTGGGGAGCAGCAGCCAAAGCTGGTCTCCTCTGAGGACCTAGCTCAAATGTCCAGGTGACAGGCAATATTTACAGAGACTGTATTTCATTAAAGTTTTTTTCTTTTTTAAAATAAAATTTATGAATGCCTTAAAACCCCAACCCTTGTGGGAAGGTGTCTGTGACCTATGCTTCCACCAGCTTCTTGCCCTTCTCTCTGGGCTCTGATGCAGGCTGGGAAGTGCCAGGGTCGGGTGCCCTGAGGCAGGGCCAGGAGACCAGAGACTAGAAGTCTGGAGGACTGCATCCAGCCCTGGCTTTCCCATTTGCTGGCCTTGTGACCTTGGACAAAGCCCTTAATCTCTCCAAGACTCAGCTTTCTGGACCTAGTAAGCTTTCTGGGGGCAGTTCTGCAATTCTGATTTAGCACGTAGGAATGTGCCAACCCCTCTGGAGCTGTTGTGTGGCAGAAACTCTCCCCTCTGTCCCTGACTTGTGTTCCTTTTTTCCCTTGGTTTAAGACAAGGTCTTGCATAAAAATTCTTAGTTAATTAGTGCTTTCCTGTGTTCTAAATGCTGGGGGACTCTACAAGAGTTGGGGCAATTTCTGTCATGAAGTTACATTTCAATATGGGGACACCGAAAGAATAAATGTCTCATATAGTAACAGGTGGATAGAGTCTGGAGGCCTGTTTTTCAGTGGTTAGAATACAGACCCATGGAGTCAAATTTCTTGGTCAAAAACCAACTGCACACTTCCTTGCTGAGCTGGGCAACTGGCTTAATTGCTTTGGGCCTCAGTCTCTCCCTCTGTTGTGTGGACCTGGTTGTATTTCCTAATGGATAGAGTTAAATGAGATCTGTCACTCAATGGTTCAGAACATATTCACAGATTGCCTGTTAAGTGCTAGGCACTGCTCTAAGCAGCTGTGAGGAGCAAGCTTAGTGGGTATGTTGGAAGCACTGAATAAATGTCAGCTATCATTAGCTCTCACACACCAAAACTGTGTTTGTAGAGATTGGTGGTGGGTGTGGGTCCACAGACATGTCACACTGTTTTATTTTGGGGACCCCATTGTGATAAATCTGATGAATTTAGACTCACAATCTCACACCTTGTCCAGGTGGGTTTGGGAGTCTTCCAGAACTGATATATTCCTGGATATGCTCTATCAGTGTTGCTCTGGAGTGTTTTTGCTGGAACAGCGTCGTTCTTTGCAAGTCTTTGGGAAGATTGTAAGTGATATTTCTTCAAAGAGAAGGCACAGTTAGCTCTCATTCTGAAAAAAGCTTGCAGTAGAGCCCAGATACACCCCCTTGCTTTATCACTTAAGGGGACCCCAGTATGTCATTTTACTGGCCCAGCTTCTTGGTTCCTTGAAAATGCCCTGAGAGGAGCTTGACTGCAGGCAGCCAAATAGTGGTATGGAAACCTCATACCACTGCAAACAGCCCAGCTGACTGCAAAGTGTATACTTAGTTAATGCAATTAAAAAACAAAAAGCAGGGGCGTGTGGAAATCTAAATTTGGTGTAGCAGCTTTGGTACCAATCCTGTTTCGGGGGCTACTGGAGTCAAATTCAAGCAGAGGAGAGGAAGAAGTGGGAGAAATGGGAGAGGGCTGAAGGATGCCTAGAATCGGCTGAGTTGAGAGAGGGCAACGCAAGGCTGGAAGCCGAGGAAGCAAGGCCAGCTCCGCAGCCCGGGTGAGGATGACTGAGGGTGGTTTGGGGGGCTTGGTGGGAAAAGGGACCAGCCGAGAGTCTGGCGACCCATGCGCGGGCTCCAGGTCCGGGAGGGTGGCTGAGACGGGGTGCACAGGCCTTGCACTGCACCAGATCTGGGTACGCAGAGGTGGCGCCGCCGTGTGCCCTCCAGTGGAGCGCAGGGAACGCTGCGAGGGTGAAGAGGGACATAAAATCCGCAAGCCGGGGGCCTGGGGGAGTCCCAGGGAAAGACCATCCAGGACATGCCCCGTCCTTTTCGGTTGCCTCTCCTTACCTCCTGCGCCTCTTGGGCTTTAGTTTAGCCCAAGCCCCTCTCCGGGGATGCTTACCCAGGGTCCAGGGCTTCCCACCCAGTCTTCCCAGCTCAGCCTTGGTCTTTGCCTCGGCCCAAAGAGTTGAGCAATCTGGGCAGCGTGTTTGGCTGGAGCTTGAAGGGCAAGGCGGCCCTGCGCACCTGGGAGGGGCGATCCTGATCACACTCAGCTTCAGTTTGTGTTGGAGTGTAAGCCAACTAGTGTGTCCCTATCTCCTCCGAGTCACCCTTTCCCTGTTGGGCAGAGTCGAGCAGCAGCAGATCTTGCGCCCGCACCCCTGAAAAAGCCACGGGCGGAGCCGCCTCTGCGCCGTGAACAGGTCTGAGCCGCGCCTCCAGCTCAGAGAGGGCGCGGGAGGTCCTGCTGCCGTCCTCCACCTGCCGGGAAATCCGAGCTGTTCCTTCGGTGGCTGCAAAGCTCCCTCCTTCCTGCTTGCCAGGCTGGCTCGGTTGTGCACGCCCCCCAGCTCGCTCCCTCCCGCCCGCCGGAGTCACCTCTCCCGCGCCCCCGCCCCTCTCGAGCTCCCGCCGGCCCCCCCACCCCCCAACCCAGCGCCTCCTCTGCCCGCCCTCCTCCCCCTCCCCCTTCTCTCTTGCCCTCCCTTCATTCCACAAGTGTCGCTCCGCTCTCTCCAGCGCACTTGGCAAGCTGAAGAGGTGAGAGGGATCTTGCGAGCGGGCACGGGGCTGTGAGTCCGGAGCCGACACAGAGGAGTGGGGCGGATATTTCGACTCTCTCTTGCTTTCCGGCTCCCCGCTTTGCCTTGTAGCCAGCCGGACCTGCACCCCGCACTTGCCCCCACTCACCCTCCCCCCACCCAGCCCCGCGCGCTCCTCCCCGGCCAGCCCCTCCGCGCGCAGCGCGCTGGAGGCGAACGCGGGCTGAGTCGAGCGCCGTGGCCGCCGACCACCGAGCGCCCCGTGCTGCTCCCTGCATGTGCAGCCCGCGGCGGCTCGCAGCCCCCGGCAGCAGCCTCGGCAGCTTCGGCCGGGCTTCGAGAAGCGGCTGCAGAGGCTCCAGAGGCAGCAGAGCAGCCGAGCCCGGGCTGGGAGACACGATGCGCCGCGTCCTCCGGCTGCTGCTCGGCTGCTTTCTCACCGAGCTCTGCGCCCGCGTGTGCCGGGCGCAGGAGCGAGCGGGGCACGAGCAGCTGGCGCAGCTGGGCGGCGTGTTGGTGCTTACTGGGGGGAACCGCTCCGGGGCCGCCTCCGGGGAGGCCGGCGAAGGCGCAGGGGTCTCGGACGCGCCCCCGACCCGGGCGCCCACGCCAGACTTCTGCCGGGGCTACTTCGATGTTATGGGCCAGTGGGACCCGCCGTTCAACTGCAGCTCGGGCGACTTCATCTTCTGCTGCGGGACTTGTGGCTTCCGGTTCTGCTGCACGTTTAAGAAGCGGCGTCTAAACCAGAGCACCTGCACCAACTACGACACCCCACTCTGGCTGAACACGGGCAAGCCCCCCGCACGCAAGGACGACCCCTTGCACGACCCCACCAAGGACAAGACCAACCTGATCGTTTACATCATCTGCGGGGTGGTGGCCGTCATGGTGCTCGTGGGCATCTTCACCAAGCTGGGACTGGAGAAAGCGCACCGGCCCCAGAGGGAGCACATGTCCAGGTGGGCTGCCTCCCCCCAGTCCTCCTCCCTCTCAGGGTGCTGCTCTCCCGTCTCTCTCCCCTTTCTACCTTCCCCAGGCAATGGCGCTCCCCCACCCCAGTCTCTCTGCTGGGCGATGTCACCGGGAACCCAACTTAGGTTCAAAGAGAGGGCGCTGGGCTCTGCACAGGTGTGGATATGAGTGTGTGTGTGTGTGTGTGTGTGTGTGTGTGTGTGTGTGTGTGGTGCTGGGGGTCTTTCCCTTCTCTTGCCCTCTTGCCGTTCCTCCTCCCCGCGCCGAAGATCGAAGCGGACTTGAGGCACGCTGCTGGGATACCGTGGCCCCGAAGTCTTGGGTTTTAGGGGGTCCACCCCTCGGATTCCAGATAGTAGTCTAGGTTAACAGGGACCGGCGGGCGGGCCAGAAAGGGAAGGGGGTGTGTGTGAGTCCGAGCGCGCGTGTGTGATGCATGGAGGGAGGGAAAGGAGTGTGCGCCGCCTGTAACTCGTAAGGCTTTCGAAAAGGAGGCGAGGGAGGTGGAGAGCCGGGGAGGGCGAGAACAAAAGCCTTGTTTGGAGCGGCCGCCTCGCTTTCCCTGAGCTGCCTGGTCCTTGGAATCAGGAACTCGGCTGTCTCTGTCCCCCCGCAAGACGCACTCCCCGCTGCCCTCGCCGCCGACTCCCTGGCTTCTCGCCTCTGTCACCACCTCTCCCTGCACCCCTTGCCCGAGCTGGCACGGACTTCAAAGGCCTGAGCCCCCGCCGCGTGCGCCACCAACCGCCCCCCCCCCCCACATCCTGATTCGTCAACTTTTCCGTTTGCCTCATTCATTATGCAAGTCCCAGCACGAGGAAGTGGCAGCAGATGGAAGAAGGCATTTGGGGATTAATGGAGCTATTTGCCTTTTTCTTTTTTTCTTTTCTTTAAGTGTCTAAATTGATTCGCACAACCCAGTAACTTTGGAGGCGAGGATGGAGCGGCGAGGATGCAGTCCCCTACCCGGGAGAGGCCTGGGGTTGGTGTGAGGTCCGGGCAGGTGGGGTTTGAAGAGCGACAGGCTACTTGCGAACTGCTGGATGACTGGGGTGCACGCTTTATCCTCTTTTTGAGAACTGATAATGGAGTTGCCATATGTCCCCCCTACACACACACACACACACACACGCACGCACGTGTGTGCGCACGGGCGCGCACACACAGACGCGCTGGCACACCCCACACCTCCGCCGGGGCCTGTGTATGTACGAGCTCTGGAAGCCTGTCTAAAATATCTGAACAAAGAGCTCCAGCAAAAATAGGCGAAGGTACATCACCACCTCACTAGTAATTATTTTTTATCTACACGTAGAGTATCCGATGACTTTTTTCTTCCACAGGGGAGGGCTTTGCAGGGGAGAAGAGGTGAGGAAGTTCGTCCTGGTTTGGGTTAGCAGGGAGGTGTGGATGGTGAGGTCTTGAATCACAGAAGTGAGCCCCGAGGGCATGCTGATCTACTCAAAGTGTAAAGAGCTGGCCACGCCCACCTCCTGCAACACCCAAGATGCTGGGTAGGCAACCACACTGCCCGCCATCGCTGTGGATTCCTGGGGTCTGTGTTAAGGTGAGGGTGGGATAGGAAAGCAGGACTGCGGCAGCCCAGCCCGTGTCTCCTTGCCTTGGCAGGGAGAGATTGTCCTAGGAATAGGTAGGCTGCCTTGCAGATTGGGTTAATTCCTCTGCTGAAACCTTCACTGAGCACTTTCCTTGCAAACCAGCACTTAAAGGAGACCTCCTCAGTGTTGGGGTTTGGGGGAGAGGGGTTGGTGAGAAGGGAGTGAGGAGGAGGGAAAGTGGGAGAAAAACTAACCTTTACACACCTATGGAAGAAAGTGATGGTTGAGACCCTCTTTGATCTGGGGTTTCCTGTGGATACAGCACACCACCAGGCACCTTAGGGCCCAGCAGGGATTCAACTTCCTGGTCCTGCCTCCTTGCAGCTCTGTTAGGGGGAAAAAGAATCACTCCAGCTCAGCAGGTTGCTGCCACATTCTTCTGCTGGTAACAGGAAAGGTCTGCTGGGAGGTGGTATCTAGGGGTACCCAGTCCTCTGTAACAACCTCACCACAGGATCTCCTTGTATACATTTTGGGAATTCCAGAGTGGACTGCAAGTGCACACACCTGAAGAGGAAGAAGAGTTGATTTTTTTTTTCCTGGCAGCTTCCTAAGTATGGCTTTCAACCTGGCTGCTGTTTAGGATCACCGGGAATGCTATTAAAAAAAAGTCCCCACCCTGGACCTCACCCTAGATACATAAAAATCTTTAAGGGAAGGACCTGAATGTCTGTGCATTTGTAAAACTCTCCAGGCTTACAACATTCAGTCAAACGCTGCTGAGGAAAAGGAAGTAACATTTGCTCAGCACAGTTCTTGGTGTCAGACACTGTAGTAGAGTGTGTGCGTGTAAACATTCTCTCTTTTACTTCTCACAGCTACCCTATGAAACAGGTGCTATTTTAATTCCCACTTACAAGGTTGGGTGGCTTGCCCAAGGTCACACAGTCAGAAAATCATGCATTATCGAGTCCCTTGGTTTCCACTGTGTCTGGGACAAACGTTTTCAGATGCAGTGAGCATCAGAGTTTGGGGGAGCTCCCTAAAATGCACATTCTTGAGTTCTATACAGAAAAATCCTGAATCAAGGGGTCTGGGATGGACCACCCAGTCTGCATTTAACAACCCCCCTGGATGGCTGATAATAAGTGGCCCACACTTGGAGAAAGACTGTCCTTGGGTTTGGGAATGTTTTGCAGGGATGGGGGGTGGATGACTCAATTCAAGGTGACTCTCATTTGCATTCCGGTGCTTGTTTTCTGCACTTATGTAGCCTTGGTGTGCATTTCCGTGCTGCTGGGGCTGCCCCAAGTCCCCACCAAGTGCACCTTTGGCTGTTTATGCAGAGGATCATTTTTGGTCCCAGCATAGCAAGGGGCTCATTAGTCTGCGGTGGCTCAGGGATGCTTGGGTGTGGTGGACACTCCCAATTTGTCATCAGAGAGGCTGTCAGGTGGCTTCTAGGTGAAATTAAAGTGCTGGCCGCAGCCTCTTAATTTGTTTTGTCTTGGGCTGTGAGGGTCACTGAGATGGGGGGTTTGTTCTCTTATCTGAAAGCAACTTCCATTCAAAGATGTAAAGCACATCATCACTGCTCCCATGTCACAAACCGCTCCTGGTGACCAGTGTGTGCGTGTGTGTGTGTCCCCAGAAGAGGCCTCTGTGATGTCAGCTTTTAGGATCATAGTCCTGGGCATATGTCCTGCTCCCTTCTGCACTGATTAGGACTGAAGCAGGAAAAGGACAGTAATTTCAGGAGGGGGGGTGTTGCATTCGATGTTGTAAGAACTATACAGATGCCTGTTCAGCAGCTGTAGCAGCAGTTACATTCAACCACTATCGGGAAAAGCGCCCACAAATCACCGGCTATGGTTATCCAACCATGCAGACATACTATGTTCGGTCTGCAAGTTATTTCTAGTAGTTATATAGTTTTATTTTTAAGTTTTTCTTAATATCTTTTATTGTGAAACATTTTAAACATATAAAAACTTGAAAGAATAATCAAAATGAATGTCAGTAGATTCTTTTTCTAGACCAGGGTTTCTCATTCTCAGCACAATTGACTTTTGGGGCTTGAGAATCTTCTGTTGTGAGGTCTGTTCTGTGGGCTGAAGGATGTTCGGCAGCGTCCTTGGACTCTACCCACTAGGTGCCAGTAGCACCCACCCCACAACCCAGGCATGACAGCAAAAAATGTCCTCAGACATAGCCAAATGTCATCTAGGGGCAGAATCATCCCCGGCTGAGAATTACTAATATAGATTGAACAGTTATTAGTATTTTGTCATATTTGCTTTATTGCTATCTCTCTCTTCAAATACTCCTTTCATCTTCCCTTTCTCCCTGCCCCACCCTTTTTCTTTGCTTTATGGCTGAAGCATTTGAAAATGAGTTGAAGACATGACACTTTGTCCCTAAATACTGCAGCATGGATCTTCTAAGAACATTCTCCCACATAACACAATTCTGGTATCACATCCAAGAAAAACAACAAAAATCCATAATATCATCAGAAATCCAATCATATTAAACATTTCCCAGTCATAGAAAAAAGTGTCTTTTAAAGGTTTCATGTTTTTCAGTCCCTGGCTGGTGTGGTTCAGTGGACTGAGCCTGTGAACCAAAAGGTTGCTGGTTTGATTCCAGTCAGGACACAAGCCTGGGTTGCGGGCCAGGTCCCAAGTTGGGGGCCTAAAAGAGGCAACCATGCATTGATGTTTCTCTCCCTCTCTTGCTTCCTCCTGCCCCCTCTCTCTGAAAAATAAATAAATAAAATCTTTAAAAAAAAGTTTGGTGTTTCAAACCAGGATCCAGTCAAGGCTCATTGCATCTGGCTGTGAAATCCCTTTAGTATCTGTGATATGTGGTGTTTTAAAACCAACTTGGAGCCAATTGCCAATGTTTAAAACCTGGGAGGTTTCACACAGAAATCCAGATTTCTGATTTCTCTTGAGAAATTGGTAGGTCTGGCAACACTGGACGTGCATTTTCATATGGCAACTATTGGTTGTTGCTGAGTGGTGCCTGCCCTATTTAGGAAGCTCTCAGGTTCACCTCAGTGGCTACCCCACCCAGTTCACTTACTGATGTGACGTGCAGTCCCTGGAGAGGCAGTCGGGCTGACCTTAATGGCATGGGCTCAAGTGAGATGGCCCAGATTCAATCCCAGCTCAGCCACTTACTAGCTGTGTGACCTTGGGACAGTTACTTGACCTCTCTGAGCCTCAGGCTCTTGACTGTAAAATGAGGTAATGATGATCCCTATGTCAGAGGTTTGTGTGAAGATTCACTGGACCGAGCTTGGAAAGTTCTTAGCACAGGGCCTATCATATGGTCACTGCTTAGTAACCATTCCCCTTTTATCATCCTTATTAGGGATTTTTTTTTTTTTTGCCTCTTGTCTACTGAAGAGGGTAATGTTGTAG